GGCAGATGCTCCCCCACCCCCTACCCCATCCGCCTCCCGTTTGTTCCTTTCAAACGTAAGATTCCCGTAAATCAATCAGTTTTGCCCCCCCCCCCTCCTTCCCCCAACAGTCGAGGGAAGTGGCCGCCGTCTTCTGAACATATTATGCTCCATCCGACGAGCAAACAGCTGGCGGGGAGTCCTGGACACTGTGGGGGCCGGGGTGGGGTGGGGGGGGATAATGGCTCCCTGGCTGTGTGCTGACCACACTTTCTGTTCCCTCCCCAGCTGGGTGAATAACTTTGGCCATGAAGGCCTGGGCCTGCTGCTGGATGCACTGGAGAAGCTTCTGGATAAAAAACAGTAAGATCCCACTTAACAGGGGGGTGCGTGGGGGCGGGGGTGGGAGGGTGGGGCTGATTATCATGTTTATGGTGCATGAATGACATGCTGTGTCATCTCTGACCTCAACCCCCACCCCCCTTCCCCCCTCTCCAGACAAGAGAGCATCGACAAAAAGAACCAGCACAAGCTTATCCAATGTCTCAAGGCCTTCATGAACAACAAGGTCTGTACCTGTCTGGGTCACTGTGGGGGGGGGGGTTTCCCGGTTCACCAGCAGGGGGTGCTCTCATTGTTCTGAGTCTAAAGTCGATATATCTCAGTGCACTTTCTTTTAATTTACCGGCCTTCCCAACATAATGTATGAACACGTATACCCACAAGCGTGCACGTATCTCTGTAGGGAAATGCTCACGTTGCTCAACCCCTCCTTCTGTGATGTGTAAACATCCAGGTCTTAGTGCTCTGGATGGGGACAGACTGGGCGCATGGGGGTTTAAGCCCAGGCTGTCTCTGAGCTCCCCCAGGGGGGCCCAAGCTGTGCCGCTGGGCACGGCCTCTGCTGCCTCTTGGTAACTGCTCATTTACTGGGAGGAGTTTTGTCAACGTTTCCTAAATAATGCACAGTCCCTGGTTCACTGTTTAATTAAATCGGCATCAACCCAGATATTGTGATATCCCATAATGCACCTGGGTCACAAGGAGGGCCATATTTCCCGGATTTACAGTTATGGCCCAAAGAGTGTTCGAGTCCCTGCTGCCCTGCCCTAAATTGCACTAATTCATCATCATGCTCTGTTTCTCCTTGTGACCTCGTCGCCCCCCCACCAGCCCCCAAAAGTATATCAGCTAATTCTGTTTTGTACACAACTTGGAGGGTAGTGACTAGCTCTCCGTCCTTAGGCTGGTGTTCGGGCCTCTGTTCGTGTGGATGTTGTTGTGATGGTATGAGAATCATGAGGGTGATGTGACCTCAGAGGTGTGCCTGTCCCTCATTTTGTCCCTCTTTCTTTGTTATTCTCCTTCAGTATGGCCTGCAAAAGATCCTTGGGGATGAGCGGAGCCTCCTGCTCTTGGCAAGAGCCATCGACGTCAAGCAGACCAGCATGATGACGGAGATCGTCAAGATCCTGTCTGCCGTCTGCATCGTGGGCGAGGAGAACATGTAAGTGGCTTCCCGGCCCCGTCCACCAGGGGGCGGTCTCTGCTCACTCGTGCCGGTCCTGAGTCTCTCGCGGCATGCACCTTTGATTCGTGTCCAGTTTCGCTGCTTAGCATGGTGTCGTTTAAGTGCTTGGGCTCTGTGACGCCTTTAAACGTTGTTGGCTATGAACAAACGGCCCTGTTGACAGGTTATAAATTGTGTCCTGGGAAATTTCTTTTCGTTTTTGTTCCCCTTGTGCTGAAGCAGTGTAGAATAACAAAGGCTGCTAAGCTGAAACCCAGTGACTTGGGGCTTTGACTGAACAAATTCAGCGGGAAGCCATTAGCCACATGGGTGTTTTGGAACAGTTAGCCATTAGCTAGTCCCTTTGGGGACGGCTAGCCTTTAGCTAGCCCGTTTTGAGACGGCTAGCCTTTAGCTAGCCCCTTTGGAGACGGCTAGCCTTTAGCTAGCCCCTTTAGAGACAAGTTCAGGCACCAGCCAGATGCCTTGTTTTCATCTGACACAGACGCCCTCGTGGGGCCTGATAGCGCAGTAAGAGTAATGGATGAGGCTTGTGTCCGTCAGCATTAATGCCTGAAGATTGTAGGTCATGTAAGTGGTTTAATGGGCACGCTTAAACAGGGGCTGCTCTTTGTCCTGCAGGGTTTGGGCATTGGTGGGTGTGGTGCCAGTGAGTGGAGCACACTTAGCCAGTGAAGGGATGGCACACAGCAGCCAGAGATAAACGTCCGCGGCTCCATTCCTCCTGTCTTTGTTGCTTAGTGTCTCTCTGCGTGTCACAGATAAAGGCCCAGCCTCTGTCAGCTGACGGCGCGATAAAGCTGCCCCTCCACCCTCCTCCCCTGCAGACAGCCCAGCGTGGAAAGGGCAGGCCATTTATCACTCAGGTCATAAGCGACCCCCCCCATCCCCCTGTTACCACGCTGGTCATAAGCGACCCCCCCCATCCCCCTGTTACCACGCAGGTCATAAGCGACCCCCCCCATCCCCCTGTTACCACGCAGGTCATAAGCGACCCCCCCCATCCCCCTGTTACCACGCTGGTCATAAGCGACCCCCCCCATCCCCCTGTTACCACGCTGGTCATAAGCGACCCCCCCCATCCCCCTGTTACCACGCAGGTCATAAGCGACCCCCCCCATCCCCCTGTTACCACGCTGGTCATAAGCGACCCCCCCCATCCCCCTGTTACCATGCTGGTCATAAAAGACCCCCCCAGCCCCTTACAGAGGCTAACTGGCCCTCAGAAACCTTCCATGCAGCAATGAAGATGCCTACTGGGGAGGGGCCGGAGAGGGTTGTGGGGAGAGGCTCTAGTCACATCTGCTGTCTGTGCTCCCTGCAGCCTGGATAAGATCCTGGAGGCCATGACGATCGCGGCGGAAAGGAACAACCGAGAGCGCTTTGCCTGCATTGTGGAGGGCCTGGAGAACCATGAGGCACAGCAGCTGCAGGTGGGTGGCTGGGGTCACGCCGTGATTGGGTCAGGCTCGTCACATGGCACAGGAACACACCCTCGCATGCCCTCTTTTAAAGTGCCGCATGTTAGAGGTGAATCGCAAAGCCTGAACCAATGGCCCCTCCCCAGTGGCCCAGTGGGAACTCAGGTCAGCTATGAAGCAGAAAAAAATTCAAATAAATAACCTCAAACGTGAAAAGCGGCACTTGGACAAAGTGGGCCTGTCTGTGCCGTTATTCCCCAAAGGCCTTTTTGCTCGCACGCTGTCTTGCCACGCCGGCCTGGCTTGGAGGATGGCAGCCCTGTCAGTCGTCAGTCTGTCCTGCCCTGCCCCCACCTCACCTTACTCTATCCCGCGTCTCCGCTTGTCAACTCGTCTGCCCTGGTTGGAGGGGGTGGGGGGGGGAGACTGCTGGGTATTAAGATGTACTGGGTGACCTACATTGTCTGTTGTCTGGCAACACGGGACGTCACTCCTGCCCCCCATCCCCCCTCCTCCCCCCCCCCAGTTCAAAAGAGGGAGCAGCTCTGCCATCCTCAGGACCAATCAGAAGCCTCCTGTGGTGACTTTACATTCATCACAGACCCTTCCTTCTGTTTTATGTCTCTTTATCTTTTTCATTTTCCCACCCAGCAGCCCCTGGGTGTTTTTCCATCCCCCCCCCATTCCTCAGAGCCTTCCCCTTCCTCGCTCTTCCTCCAAGGGGCTCCGGGCTCGTGTCACAGCCAGCCCACCGCTTCCTCCTCTTTCCATCCCTGTTTAGAGCGATTAACCCTAGTCTTTCCCACTTGAGGTCGTTCTGCTCTTCACCGGGGTCGTAAATGTAAGGATTGTGCTTATCTGTGATTGGCCTGAGTTGACCCCGGCTGGCCCTGATTGGCTCAGCACCCTTCATAGTGGGAGGATTAATCTGCGCATCCTTCCTTTTGATGGTCAGTTGGCCCCACCAGCTCTGACGGGTCGGTGTGGGATGGGGGGACAGACCCCTGTGCAGATGATGCCTCTATGGGCTGCTGTGAATCAGAGGCTCGTTTGGGACCCATCCCAATGCCATCTCCCCCCTTACCCGACCCATAAACCCAGGAGGACATGACACCCCAGGGGCCCCCGCCACCTGCCTTCCGTATGTCCATCCTGGACATTCCTGGTCTCCCATCGACCCTGCGTCCCATTCCACTTCTCCATCGCGGTCCCTCAGCCACCCACCATCATTGTAAGCTCCCCCATTGGGCCGGTTAAAGCCTATCAACACCACCAGCCATCCCATCCCATGACCACTCCTGGCTCTTTCTCTGTTTAGATTAACCATTAAACAAGCATCCAGCTCTCCCAGTACCTATCAGCTGTTGGACTGAGTGTTGAAATATGCTGTTATCCTTCGCTTTTCTGGCTGGAACTTAAGCCTATGAGTAGTCTGAACCTCGGTCTAGTACCATGGATGTACACCTCGTACCGTGCTCCAGAAACGATAAACCCAGGGAAAGTGGTTTGCTTGGACAGCGGGATGCCCTGCTCGTTACACCCTGTGCTAATGTTTGTTTAATGTACATGAGTTAATTTCAGGTTTCATAAAAATTTTAGGGGATAACTTCTTATTGAGTTTATTTAAGCGATTCTTGTGTTTTCAGCTAGACAGGGTTTAAAGGTTAATTTTGTACAGGAAACCGATTTGCACCGCCATATTGGCAAAAACATATTGAATATTAACATACAATATTGTAATAGCAAAATTGAAGTGACTAACCTTGGGTGTCGTGGAAAGTTTTAGCTTTTCAGAGAAGTTGCTACTGTGGTCAGTGAGGGGACTTGGGCACCCGACACTGACACATGGGTGGGAAGTGAATAGCCTGACCCCTCCTGTGTCCTGCAGGTGGCGTGCATGCAGCTGATCAACGCCCTGCTCACTTCCCCGGATGACCTGGACTTCCGCATCCACCTCCGCAATGAGTTCCTGCGCTGCGGACTAAAGAAGATCCTGCCGGTGAGGACATGGCGGGGCTGGGGCAGCGCTCATCCTATAAGCTTTCTGTGTTCTGGACCCGCCCCCTTGCTGCTGTACCATTGGGTGGGCCTATCCTGATACGGAGAGCCAGTCTGAGCTGCAGTGTGATGACGGGCAGCCGCAGGAGCAGGAATGCGGGGACCTGTGATTGGCTTCAGTTGACCATAGCTGGCTGTGATTGGCTCAGCACACCTCGATAGTTTGAGGAGTTATCTGTGGCCTCTTTCTGCTTGAGGTGATCTCCCATGTCGCCATTAATTGCCCCAGGGAGAGCATGCAGAAAGATGGAAGCCATGTTTGACTATGGTCTACCCCAAAGTCCCAAATGCGTGACATTCTGTGTTCTGGGAGCTGCTGGTCTCAGGCTTGTCCTCCCCCCGCATTAAATGGCAGGAACTGAAGGAGACGGAGGAGTTGGACATCCAGCTGAAGGTGTTCAACGAGAACAAGGACGAGGATTTCCTGGAGCTGTCCCACCGACTGGAGGACATCCGGGCCGAGATGGAATATCCTTTGATATTTTCTTGTTGGGGAGGGAGATAAATTCCCCATTCTGCAGTATGGGGGGGGGTCCCAGTGGCTCCCAGTGGCTCCAGTGGCTCTCGATACACAGCCCCAGAAAACGGGCTCCTCCCTCCCAAGACCTCTGTACTCGGCACCTCAGCTGGTCCAGTAGTGTCGTTTCTCCAGTTTCCCAGAATCCCTAGCTCCTGCTCACGACTGTCTATAAAAAAATTACCTCGCTGGTGTTTCATAAACCTGGTATTTATTCTACTTTTCCACCTCTCAGGTTCAGGCTATTCTAGTGACACCAGCTTAAAAATGGTTTGCGTTTTGAGTCCAGGAATTACGGGAGCCCGACCCCTGCATCAATGTCCTGATCCCACATCGGTCACACTTGCACTGGCAAGTTCACGATCCTTCCAGAGCCGACGCGGGTGTGCGTGTGCTTGACACCTTAAGAGATGCGGATGTTGCTGGGAGACGGCCTTTGCCGCCGTTGTCAAGCACGATCAGCATCTGCAGCAGCCCCATTCCACATGTATAGGCCGTCACACCTCTCCTCGCCCTTCTGGCTGATGTGGAATCTGTCTGAACTTCTCGGTCTTCTGTTGGCCTGTCCCGGGTGTGTCTGGTCCAGGTTTGGGTCCCTCAACCCAGTATGCCATTGGAATAATCCGGCATGTGTCTCTGGGCAAGACAGCCCTGTTGGAGCCGACACTCGGTTGCATGTGTTGGCACCACACAGATGTTCTCACTGACCCCCCTCCGTCTTCCGGTGTCTCCAGGCGGAAGACCTTCCTGCGCCCGCGTCCGAGAGAGTGACAGGTGCTTAGGGATGGGGGGGGGCGGGTCAGGCATGTTTCCGCCCTAGACCCCTGACCTCATCTGCCGTCTCGATGGGACCACCTCATGAATATTTACGCCTGGGGGGCACCCCCCCACCCCCCATCTCCAGCCGGCCTGGATGCAGGTGTCAGCGAGGTGACTCCTGTGTGGTGATGAATAGCGATTGGCTGCGCTGCCATGGGATGGAGCAGATGAACCCCCCCCCCCACATTCCCTATTTATTCATAAGCCTGAAAAATCCATCAGTGTATCAGCTGTGTGACTATACAACCTGATAGAAGAACAGAAAAGAAGGAGAGAAAATGCTAAAGAACCCCTGTTTGGTCCACCTCATCTCTGAGAGATGCCGGGGGGGGGGGCACTCTCTTATTTAGGTACGCCCGCCACATCACACTAACGAACCGCACCTCCCTCGTTAGGCCTGATGGGGGAGTGGCAATTAGTGGTTAAGGACTTTGTTTACAGTTGCAGTTTGATACAGAAGATGCCTCTTAATTACAGATGATGCTCAGGCTAATGAAAGGAGGCCACTGCTGTTCTCGAGGCTTTTCTTCCTTTGGTTTTTATCGCTGGAACGGGCAGTTGGATCACAATGAGCAGTTTTGTTGTTGATTTGGCGGGGGGGGTCGCCTCTGTCCCTGCAGCTGTGGGGGACACATGCCCTTGACTTCGTAGGTGATCCTCGATCTCCATCAGCACTGAGATTTGCCTTTTTCGAGTGCCCCATTTGCTTCCCGAACACCACGACGCCCCCCCAGACAGACGTCACGTTTCGCGGTTTTAGGGAAGCATCTTCACTGCAGGCTCTCCCGTCTCCTCATGTGCCATTTTCCCCCATCGACACGTGACTTCAAATCTTCCATATTCCGCCTGACAATAGAAGGCGGGGCTGGGGCTAACGTGGCATCCAGCAGAGCGGCTAATCAGAAGCTTCCGGTCATGCTGTGACCGGGACCAAGCAAGAGCGAGTCGGCCCATTGGATGTAAGAATGCCCTGCTTTGCGTCGCCTCCCAACCCTCCGCACTCGCGTCTTTCAGAGGAGGGTTTGCTCAGTTTGCTCTCCAGCCTGCTTCTCAGACAAGACAAACATCCAGCTGAAATTACCCTTTTTTTCTTGCCAAGCTTGCATCCAATTTGAATCTTTGCCGCTAGCTATTTATTTTCTGAGTACTTCACAGGTTTTTGTTATTTCTTTCAAGTTTAGGTTGATGATTCAAACTAATCCTGCCACTGTTTGGCTCCAAACCCTCTTAAATATTCTTTTCACATATTCACATTATCTGAAGACCATGTTATGCGTCTTATATGCTTCTCTTTATCATACCGCCTCACCTGAAGCCTAATCTTAAATAAAAAGGAATAAATTAACTGAAGTATTTAAAAAAAAAAAAAAAAAGTGGGCGTCGTCACTAAACTCGTCACACACCCTTCTGGTTGGTGGCTCCATTTCCTCCTCCCCCCCCCCCCCCATCCCCCCCATCGCAGGTACAACAGGTAGAAAAAAAAAAGTCTAAATTCAATAGCCACCTGCATCTTTATTTTTTAAAATCACTTCCTATTTTTCCCAATTTATTTTCTATCTATTTTAAATTAATATTTGTTTTCTATCTATTTTCTGTCTGTCAGGCGTGTAATCGATACGTGTTGCAAGTAAAAAAAAAAGAAACGGCCTTCTCCTCACCCGGAGGATTCCAGCACTTTGAGCCTTTGGCCGGCTGATGCATTTTTCATGATTCTCAGTCTAAATATTCAAACCTGTGGATTTTCCGTTTGATTAATGTGCCGGTTCTTTGGAAGGTGCCACCTGACAGGTAGACTTGAGAGAATGATATTTATTTATAGCCCTCTGCTCCCCCCCCATCCCCCCCCCCTTTTTTTGTTTGTTTAGTCTTAGGAATGAGCTCCCAGCTGGGAAAAGAGGTCATTAAAAGCTGTTACACCTTCATCATGAGCTCTGTGAGGCCTGTCGGATTGGCCGACACGGACTGCATGTGAAATCCGCTGGGGGTGTCGCGGGGGGAGCGAGTGGTCCTGGGGGCTGCCTCTGCTGCTTTGAAGGCTACACCCCCGCCGGGTGTGCTCTCTCTGTTCAGAGGTCAGTGTGTCACTGATTGACAGCCTGTGGGACAGGCTACAAAGTCTCACGGTCTGGTGGAAGTTCAGTCTGCACTGAAGAAGTTCTGGAGGAAGTTCTGGAGCACAAACCCGGCCCCCGCCAGCAGCGATTCGGCCCTCAGATCTTCCCCCGTCGGTCCTCTGCACACGGCCCATCCTGTCCTGCAGAGGAACCCTTTTGGATGCACCCGTCTCATCCTCACCGTCTTTTCTGCGGGTTTGGCCCAGGAATGATTGTGCTGAGGCTTTATTAAGGTGTCAAAATTGAGCCACAGTTACGAATGGGTCAGATGTAACTGGATCTTTTTGGAAGCCCAGTCTGATGATTGGAGAGGTTGGAGACTTTGGAGATCGGAGTCAGTATGCCTCAGGTTTATTTTATAAAGGTCAGAGCTGGGGGTGATTCTGGTTTGGTTTCACAGCTGGGCGTAGTTCTGGATCGGTTTCACAGCTGTGGATGATACTGGTTTGCTTTCACGGCTGGGGATGGTCCCAGTTCGGTTTCACAGCTGGGGGTGGTTCCAGTCCCACTTGAGGCTTGTTCGCGCAGCTCTGTGTCCTGCTTCTGGCACATCGTCCCCTGCTGTGTGAATCCTCCACGTTCAGCCGTCACCTCCGGGAATCCCGCCGGCGTGACGAGCTCGATTTGCAGAGGTCCTGTCCGGACGTGGTTGCTTTTACTGGAGAGTCGGGAGCTTCCCTTCATCCCGTACACGTCTCCTGACATGGGAGACTCGGGACCCGGTGGCGGTCGGCCCCGGGTGCGAGAGTGCTGGGACGACGCGTGTTTTCATGTGTTTCTCAGGCCTCGTCATGCTGACACCCCACCTGCGCTTCCTGAGCTCGGAGGACACAGGGCTTTCTAAAAAGAGACGCGGTTGTGTTTGGACATGTTCTCCTGAAGGGGTATATATGGCGCTCGCCTGCGGAGAGTACGTGTGCTGGGACCCAACGTCCATGTGCCTGAGCTCTCTCCGGGTTTTCTCCTTAACCCCTTCCGCACCGACATGAACGAAGTCTACCACCTGCTCTCCAACATGGTGAAGGACACGGCCTCAGAGAACTACCTCCTGTCGATCCTGCAGCACCTCCTGCTCATCCGGAATGACTACTACATCAGGTGAGGCCCTCCCCCGATCTAGGGTTGACAGGTGTGGGGAGTGGGGCGACACACACGGTCTAGCAGTCCCGCTTTTCACCACAGCACATCTTTGGTCCAGTATTCCTGAATCAAAATGGCCCTCTGGGTGTGAAATGAAAGTTCCTCTAGGCCAAGGAGGGGTGTGGGAGGGGGTTACCGACCCCACACCCATCTGAGAGCTCACGCCAACCCGCATGTCGCCTCCCCCAATATGGCAGACGCATGAAAGCTCAGACCTTTTGTGCAAATAAAACATTTAAGGCGGGAAGGGTGTGTGCAGGAATGGGATTGGATGGGGATTTTTGGAGGGGTGCAGGGGTAGCGGGGGGGGCATTGTTGCTGTCCGCTTTGCGTAATGAATAATGTATCCGTCAGCCTGTTGGAGAAGCTGGATCTTCGCACGTTAGCCAGCTGGCTCGTCTCCGGCGGTAAGAGGGATCGCCGCGGACAGTCGTTAAAAATACATGCTGTTATTAAACATACGCTTCTAAAAGACACATCCCCGCTGCAGCCGTGGGTGAGCGTTGCACACACCTCCACGAGACCTGCCAGTCTCGCTCCGCCCGCCGTCACTGTCGGTTACACACACAGACGCTTTTACGCCACCGATCCTTTTATGTTCGAATTTAAAAACGGTGTTTCTGGATTCGCCTCTGTAGCCTTCGAAAGAGACGGGACCCCCAAGATCTTTGGAGAGGGGGACGGTACCTTGTCTTTGGGCTTCAGAGGCGGGGGAGGGGCGGCGTATTGCTAGCATGTTAGCCAATACGCTAAACATCAGCAAAAAATAGCGCAGTGATAAGTATAATACAAGAAATTGACATCATGCCCTACTGGGGAGAAGGAATGGGGGCAGTTTGTGGCGGGGGGGTGGTTCTGAGGCCCTGCGTCTTCTGGTGCCGTGTGACAGTTCTGGGTCAGACACCAACTCGCTCTTATCTGCGTCCATGGAACGATGCTGGCAGGGGGGTTGGGGGGTGCTCTTATTGAGGTAATAATTTGATGTGTCTCCATGACAGCCACAAATGGCTCCCCCCTCTTGGAAGATGTACCTATGAAAACGGTGTATAACCTCATTCTACTCTGTGTGTGTGTGTGTGTGTGTGTGTGTGTGTCTCTCTCTGGTAAATATGCGCGTACCGTCACCCTGCCAAACGTGAAGTAGTACTTATGTTAAACGGCACTCTCTAAGGACACCTCTCTAAGGACAGGTGCTAATGTCAGAGACAATTTAGCGTTAGAGGAAATGCCTTCGCAGGATGTCAGGGAGACCGCAGCTTAACCCCAGACGCTCTGTGTCGATGGCAGCGGCAGCTAATGGGAACCGTTTAAAATTTAAAATAAAACAATCTGAGGGAGAATGAGATGGAAACTGCCGGTTAAACAGTTTCTGAGCAGTGATTACTGCCACTGCAGAGAGCAAGCAGGGAGCGGTGAAGATGGAACAGGCCAGAAGGTGTTCACCTGCCTGCATTCTCCATCCATCCATCCATCCATCCATCCGGCGTCTTGTCTAGTCGCATCAGGCTGTGCTAGTCTGTGGCTGGGACACGGATGTTACGTGTTTTTTATGTGTTTGGTGACATTTTGTCACAGCCCATAACATTGGTGATTATTCCCAGAGTGCCTGCTCTGTGAATGTCACCCACGTGTGTTCAGTACGGCGACTGTAAATGCAACCTATGTTATATGGTGAGTTATAGCCTGCCCAAGTGTCCTACAAGCTGCCCAGATCGCAGCGAGAGCAGAGTTAGACCACAGCAGCATCTCTTTCCCTGTAAGGTTTCCCTCACCTGGAGGTTCCCTTCACCCCGGAAGTTCCCGTTGCCCCATAAGAATCCCTTCACCCCAAAGGTTCCCGTTGCCCCATAAGGATCCCATCACCCTGGAGGTTCCCATTGTCCCATAAGGTTCCCTCCACCCCAGAGGTTCCCGTTGCCCCATAAGGATCCCATCACCCTGGAGGTTCCCGTTGCCCCATAAAGATCCCATCACCCCGGAGGTTACCCTTGCCTCATAAGGATCCCATCACCCTGCAGGTTCCCATTGTCTCATAAGGATCCCTCCACCCCGGAGGTTCCCGTTGCCCCATAAGGATCCCATCACCCTGGAGGTTCCCGTTGCCCCATAAGGATCCCTTCACCCTGGAGGTTGTCATTGCCGCATAAGGCTTTCCTCTCCCTGGAGGTTCCCATTTCCTCAGAGGTTCCCCATGTCCAATAACGTTCCTGTTCCTCAAGAGGTTCCTTTTACCTCATAAGGTTATGTCGCCCATTAAGGTTCTTGCCGCCTCTTTTTCACTGAATTCCTCTGAATTCCAAATGAAATTTATGGGAAGTTACTGCTTGCCCCTTGGGTAGCGTGAAGAAAAGGGCCCCAACTGAATCCTGGGTTTGGGGGGGTTTGGAGAGGAGAGGATCTGGAGAGCTTTCCAACCCCAGTTCTGTTTCCAGATTCAAGTTTGGAGGCTCTGATGACTGCGATCCCTTTCAGAAAACTTTAGCAAACCATTTGCCCACCCTGCCTGCCCCACTTTACCCAGATTGTTTGCTGGGGTGCCTTAGCCTGCCCACCCACTATCCCACAGCCCATTCAAGTCATATTCCAGCCCCGGAGGTACAGCTGCTCCATGCTAACAGTTTGCTGTCGGCTGTGGCTTATCTGCTGTCTGTGCTAGAAACCGTGAGGGGTGGGGCGGGGGGTGTTATGCATCTATACCCCTGCGAACAATAAAATAAACGAAAATAATCATTTTCAGGTTGTGAAATCTTTGCGGTCTGTGGAATACAAGTGACAGATTTTTTAGGACCTTAGGCAAAGATTTGATGCTGGGAATTAATTCCAGGAATTGGTCTGAACCATAAAATTGTGTCTGTCTTTAATGGGAGCGGGTTGTCTGGGGCGGGGGGGGGGGGTAGTTCTGGTTTCAAAATTGCGTCTCCTTGGAAATTCTCAAGGTGAGACCAGAATTATTTGACGGCCTCATAACTCAGCATAGGTTGACTTTGTATCCACTAAATGTCACTCGCAATTAAAGTCGACCGTTTTGAGCTGGAAAAGGTTAGGGCCCAGCATGCCAGGTGCCAACGCGGTCCGTGAGATCACTGCCGCCGTCTGCATTCGTTTATGTTTGTTTTTTTGCCTGTTTGTTTTTGTGTTTGTTGTGCTTTTAATTACACCCGGAGCACGTTGTTGTCCCTTGGCCGTTTCCGTGGGCCACCTGTAATTTCCGAGGATGATTGCAAATTCCCTGCGTGACGGCGCAAGGCGTCACCTTGGTTGGACGAGGTCCCCGTCCGCCTGCCGTCATTTCACAGTTTGATGGGACGTCTCGCCGAAATAAGGGGTGGATGCCGGGACTCGGAAGAAGGATAAATTGGGGTAGTAATGGTGTGGAAATGAATTTTATTTATTTTTTTTGGGGGGGGGGGCTGATTAGAACGCCAGTAAAGTGTCACAGGCTGCGGTGTGGATGCATCCTATTGGCCACGCCCACTGTGACCCTGCCCATCTCCCTTCTAGGCCGCAATACTACAAGATCATCGAGGAGTGTGTGGCTCAGGTAGTCCTGCACCGCAGCGGCATGGACCCCGACTTCGGCTACCGGGAGCGGCTGGACGTGGACTTCACCCTCCTCGTCGGTACGTTTCCGTGGGGGGAGTGGGGAGGGGGCTCTCAGCCAGTTTCTGAGTTTCAGTTGATCCTTGTTACCGTGCGGTGGTGTCGATGGTGACCAGAAATCCTCACAATCCTCCAAAAAGATGGTCTGATCCTGAATCAGTGTTATTGTTCCCTTAACCATTAATTCTGTCATTAGCAGAGATTAGTGAGAGTGTTTCTCAGTTGTCACTGCAGGCTGGCTGGGGCTGAAGCCCCCCCCCCCACACACACACACACTTAAATATACATTCATAAGCACTATAAATGCTTATTTGTATACTCATCACACATACAAAGCATTGCATACAGCAGTGTTTTGCTACCGTGACAAATGGAAAGCCCCAGAAATGTCATTCTGTTCAGCAGGGGGGGCACTGAGTGTCTGAGCACCCCCCCCCCCCGACGCCTCTCATTATCTTCCCACCATCCCTCGAGACCCCGGGCCGAACACAGTACCTGCAGCTGGTGCGCTTATAGGATGAGCCGTGCTAATTATGCAATAAATGATGCATTATCGTTAATGCTCGTCTTTTGGTTGGGGGGGGGGGAGGCTTTGGTCAGCTGCATGTGATGGTGCATATTCTTCTTTTTATGTCTGTTGCCCCAAATTTAAGCACAATTAGGAGGAGGTGGACAAATCACGGGCTGATTTTTTTAGATTCGCACGTCCCAAAGGCAGCCTTTTCGTTGTGGGAGGGGCTTCATTGTGACTTGCCAGCCATGTGCTTCATCTGAGCAAGGTCCTTTGGTCTGTGTCTTTTGATCTCTCGGAGTGACTAACTTTTATTCCTCTGCTCTGTGTGTGTGTGTGTATGTGTGTGTATGTGTGTGTGTGTGTGTGTATGTCTCCACAGATCAGTGTGTGGATAAGGCCAAAGTCGAGGAGAGTGAACATAAGGCCCTGGAGTTTTCCAAGAAGGTGAGTCCCACCCCACCCTACCTCGCCACACCCCTCCAAGCTCCGCCCCACAGACATCACCAGTGGGGGGGGGGGGGGGGGGTTCTCACAAGCTGCCTTTCTGAGCCTCTTATTTGGGAAACGCAGAGGGAAGATTTTTTATTTTTTTAACTGCATTGATTTATGTTTCTTTTCACCAGCAAATACTGCTCAAAAGCAGGGAGACAGGAGATTAAAGCGGCTTTTTGGCTCTGGTGGGTGGAAAGAGGTGCTCCTGTTCCTGATGATCTAGCATCACACTAGTTGCAGTTCTAGGTGTATCTAGACCTCGGGGGCTACTGTGGGTCAGGCTGATACTGCAGGAAGGGGAGTGGGCTGGGCAAGGACATGCGTCTGAGTGGCCCGGCAGTGGCAGTGGCAGTGGCAGTGGCAGTGGCCTGTGTGGGGTCTCCCCGTCGTCATATTGTCGCCGGACCTGCCTCCATTCTCACTGGCCAATCTTCGGTTCCTGCCTGCAGTTCGATGAGGAGTTCAGCGCCCGTCAGGAAGCTCAGGCTGAGCTCCGGAAGCAGGAGGAGAAGATTAAGGAGATGGAGGTGCAGATCCATGCTCTACAGACCCAGGTAACAGGACAGGGATGCCGGGACCCCTGGGTGTTCCGTCACCGGCTCAGTCTGGAAATATCGCTCCCACTTACGCTGTCAATTGCTCTTTTATGTCATGCAGGCTTTCCTTTATTTTTCCGTTGTTTTTACGTCTTAGTGGTTATTTGTTATTTGTCAGCAGTCCTCGGATGGAAGGGCAGAATAGCAGCGCTGTTTATGTTCGGTGGAATTACGATGACCCGAAGCCAGCCTGTACCGGGAACCAAAACTGAGACAGTGTTTGTCGGGGGGCCACGATTCTCAAATAAATATTCACCCCACACTCGTGAAGATTATTGGTGGGAAGGTGGCGAACACCCCCCCCCCCACCCGCTCACCCCGGCACCCTGCGTCGTTGCATGTTCTCTGTCTTGCGATATTATTTATTACTAAGGCTGAACTGGAGACAAGGCAGCCAATTATAGCAGCTCTGTGGATATATCCGCCTATCCCGGCACTCTCTCCGGGAAAATTCGAAATACACATGGTTGCTAGGAGAAAGAATTGCCTAATTCAGTCAAGCTGAAACCTTTTGACTCTTAACAACAAATGTCTAACTGCTCTAAGTGGCTATTTTTGGGCGCCTGCGATTATTTAATTTAATAAAGTGCCAATTTCCCCCTTAAAATGCCGGCCTAGATACATTTGAATTACTTCTCAGTAGTGTAATACGCTCAGAGCCGCGCGTCTCGGAGGTGGGGAGGTACGCCATTATGTTTGTGAATTTCAGCTGTGTCTCCGAATTAGCATTTTATTTTTTCCCTCTCTTATGACTCGGCTGTCAGTGAGATCCTCCATAAGCCAATTCTGAGCACTTTGAAGCTGCCCAGAGACAACTGAATGGATTGACACTCGGCTTATTGAATTTAATAAAAACTGGTATGCCCCCCCCACAGCTGATCCATCACTGGCTCGGGTTGTCTGCTTTTACACATTAACTCCCTGTGATCCATCTGATTTGAAGCATCCGCCTATCCTGTCCTGGGTCTCCACCCCCCATAGCTAGGCCCGGTAACCTCCAGGTTACAGGTTCGAACCCGGTTCTCTGAGACGTCATGGCCACTGTCATTTCCTGTCTCCCACCGTAAGGTCTTAGACGGCAGCCGTTTGAAGGAATTCTCCTTCCTGAACATGCATCCCAAAATATTTGAAACAGATGTTTTCTTCCCCTTTTCTTTTGACTTGCCCGCGTCTGCTTTAGTTTTCGGCAGCCTCCCCAGCTTATAGAGTTCTAGATGCTGCCATCTGAGGGTTATTCCCTGCAGACTCGTACCCCTGACCCAAATGAAGGCTGGAATCCCCCATGAGTAGGACCAGACCCAGGCTTGTCTGATGTCAGGTTTCCCAAGGTGCCCCCACACAGCAGGCAAGGGCTGTGGCCTCCTCACTGGGGCCTCCCACCGCTCTGCTACTCTCCTCTCTTCTCCTCTCCTCTCCTCTTCTTTCTTCTCTTCTCCTCCCGGTGATACTTGTTAACGTTACGGCAGCCATCTGTTCCTAGTGTGTGACAGCGGGAACACATGCTCTCCTCCTGCCTTCCTAACTAGACCCCTTCCCTCTTTCCAGAGCCTTAT